TAGGCCCCTATTTATAGAAATTTTGAAATTACTATGCACTATGTACTATTCATTAAAATAATATTATTTCATTATTATAATATTAAAGTTACTATGCACTATTGATTAAAATATTAGAATTAATTAAATTTTGAAACTTAATTCCGCAGCCCCCCTTCGGTTCCGCAGCCTTCAATTATGCATATGAATAGTAAAATACTATTCATAAATACGTATACATGAATAGTAAAATACATATATGTAAATAGTAAAATACGTATATGTAAATAGTAAAATACGTATATGTAAATAGTAAAATACGTATATAAAAATACGGTAACTCTTCTAATAATTCCAATACATAAAAAAAAATAAAATTTTGGAATGTTACAGAAGCAAGCTCCTCGGGCATGGTACAGTAGAATAAATCAATACTTCACCGATCATGGATTCAGGAGGAGTAAGAGTGAGCCAACACTATACATCAAGACCCAAGGTCAGTATGACACTCTCATTGTCTCCTTGTATGTAGATGATCTTATCTACATAGGAAACAATATGAATATGATGACAGAATTCAAAGAAGACATGATGAAGACATTTGAAATAACGGACCTTGGCTTGATGAACTACTTCCTTGGTATTGAGGTAAGTCAAAAGAAGAAAGGGATATTCATTTGTCAAAAGAAATATATTGAAGCTCTCTTGAAGAAGTTCAAGATGAGTGGTTGCAAGACTGTCACTACTCCACTTGTGACAAAGGAGAAGCTACAAAAAGATGATGGAGCACCAGATGCTGATGCATCTCGCTACAGAAGTTTAATTGGAAGCTTACTGTATTTAACAGCCACACGACCAGACATAATGTATGTTGTAAGTCTTTTATCAAGGTTTATGCAAAGCCTAAGCCAAATTCACTTTGGAGCAGCTAAAAGAATTTTAAGATATCTACAAGGCACTAAGGAGTTTTGTATTTGGTACAAAACAATGACCAACTCAAGTTTGCTCGAATACACCGACAGTGATTGGGCAGGATCGGTAGATGACATGAAAAACACCTCTGGTTATGTCTTCTCACTTGGATCAGGAATATTTTCTTGGGCATAGAAAAAGCAAGCAACAGTTGCACAATCAATCGCAGAGGCAGAATATGTTGCAGCAGTTGAAGCTACAAGTCAAACAATTTGGCTACAAAGAATACTTGTAGAAATGGGAGAACAACAAGATGGGCCTACTACAATCTACTGCGATAATAAATCAGTAATAGCAATGACAAAAAAAATCCAGTACATCATAGCAGGACAAAACACATTGCAATTAAATATAACTTTATCATAGAAGCGGAAACAACTAAAGAAATCAAGATGGAGTATTGTAAGACCGAAGAGCAAGTTGCTAACATATTCACAAAGGCACTACCAAGAGGTACATTCGAACAATTTTGCACTATGATAGGAGTTAAAGAAATTTGTATCAAGGAGGAGTGTTAAAATGTGATACAAACTTTTAGAATAAGATAGATCATTATAAAAAGATACATAGATATGTGCTAGTAACTACTAGATGATACAAATTCTAGAATTATGTAGACAATTATATATAAATAGAAAACTCTAGAATAGATATTTCTAGAATCTTCTATATAGAACATGAATGGTGGTGTTGAGTCCTATAAATAGGCCATGTACTCAACATTTGTATCCAAGCAACTAGTAAGTCATTTCCATTACTCAAATCTATTCCAAATATTCCTCTAAGCTAGTTTCCTCTCAACTAAGCCTATCATTATAAATTTGCCTCCCCATTCTTTCTACCAATCAAATAAGTTTTTACTATTTGATAATTCATAAACTAACAAGTAGGATGAATACGTCAAGGTGGGTAAGTAGAGGAATATAGCACAAGTTTAAGATTAAATGTATCTGGGAGAAAATTTTAGTAGCACTTATTGAGGAGATCATGGATGATTAAGATGATTCAGTCACGTCTAAAGACCAAAAGAGTTGGATAAATGGATCCAATGGAGAATTTGAGCAAGAAAAAAACTAACAATAAGAGAAACCATTAATAAAAGTCTTGCTCTAAATGGTTTTACCATTTGGCTTCGGATAAAGTCTAATAGCATCGATCCATGTAGATGAAACCACCTAATAGGATAAAGGGGTTGTTGAGTGAATACATAACTCACTTAGAAAGAATACTGTATTTATAATTTAGGTTGCAAGAATTACAAGCATAGAGGGGTGGTAATAAAATCAAGCTAGATGATAATATATATATATATATATATATATATATATATATACACTTATAATT